TATACCCATACGCCCTATATTAGCCATATAAACCCTAAACCTCTAAACCCCAGTTAGCCCTACTCTTGACCTATTTACTAGGCCCCACTGAACCTCCAAGTACCCATAAGCCTCTCCTGAGACCTTAGGCCCTAAACCCGACACCGTAAGCCCAATAAACTCTAAACCCAAAACCTTAAACCGTAAGCCCTAAATCCTAAACCCGGAAGGGCCTTCGCCTGTAATGTTTTGGGACCCTCTTGCACCTGCCTATGTGGGCTTTCCGTGCAGACGGAAAAACGTGTGGCAAAAAAAAATCTTAAACCCTAAATTCTAAACCCTAAACCCTAAACCCTAGACCCTGAACCTTGAGCCTTAAACCTTAAACCAGGAGGCCAGGCTCAAGGAGTCGGAGCGGCAGATCCAGGCCCGTCTTTGGGGAGTTGGCTCAGGGTAAGAGCAAGCCATGTGACATATCCACATACATATATGTATGTATGTATATACATATATGTACATATATGATATAATCATGTTTAGGATTTAGGGTTTAGAGTTTTGGGTTTAGGGTTAGAGAGTATAGGGGTACGGATTTTAGGGGCTGACGCTTCGAGCATGGGGAGTTTAGAGCTTACATAGGATTTTTCGGTATTTGTCCAGGGCCTAGGATTCTAGGGGGGTGGGCAGGTGTTGAGGGTATGAACAGCATGTCAGGATTCAAAATTGCGGCTTGCGTCGCTTCGGGCTTCTAGTTCTGCCTCAGGGGGTCTCCAATATCACCCGGTGACATTTTTTGAGGCTCACATTTGAGATGACGGTAGCGGGCTTTCTTAGGCGTTTGGTTTGGGAGCTTCGGGTATGTGAGCCGCTTCAAATCGCAGAACCTCAGATCTTCAACATAGACTCTCGCAATCCTGAACCTTGAACTTGAGAGACCGCAACAACTACCAACTTTTCTGCTTCATCATCCTCATATTTTTTGGAAAAACTATATGTAGACATGTATATTTATCCGTGCTTTTGCCTCATGCCGTACTTGAGGTAGTTTGGGCCCGAAGTATGCCTTGTTTGCGTGGCCTGGCAAGGAGCTTGGTGAGAATCTCAACAAGGAGCGCCACGAAAGACAGGCATGCGGAGATCTATTTGGTGGTTTCCCAAAATTAGGGGTACCATTTTGGGGGTCCCCATAATACGGATTATAGTATATTGGGGTCTATATTGGGGTCACCCTATTGTGGGAAAATACCATTTCTAGGTAGCAAAGCCGAAGTTATAACGAGGCCTTATCCTGCAGCCTCCTATGCACTAGAGGCTCTAGCTCCTTTTTGGGTAGTATGGTATAATCCCTTACCAGAAAACCATACCAGACCCAAAAAGGAGCTACATACGAGCCCGTGGGTGGTAATAGTATTGCATAGCTGTAGTCAGTAGCCAGGGGCCCCAGCAAACCGAGAAGGCGCTCCAAGTGGGGTTCCTTCAAATAATCCGCCATTTCAGCCATACTCTAAATTCCGAAACTAGTTCCATGGACTGATTCCTGCAGGACTTTCAGTGTTAGGGTTCAGGGCGAAGGATTGAGATTAAGATCGGAAAGATCAGATTTGGTACGATGCTTGGGGGGACTCTAGGCGCGGAGTTTGAGATGGAGATTCCAAAGAGTTCGTCCCCGAAACCCTAAACCCTAAACCACTAAATCCAACCAACCAGGGCTTTGTATCTACAACGTCTGCAGCAGCGCAGCAGCTCTATGGGCTGGTGGGCTAGCACCCTGGTCCCCAAACCCTAAACCCAAATCCCTGCACCCTAAACTCTAAATTCCCACCCGGCCGCCCTAAACCCTAAACCCTGAACCCTAAACCCTCAGCCTGAACCCCAGACCCTAAACCTTAAACATCCCTAAGCCCAAAGTTGGGGGCAGTTCACCTGGGCCAATCGACTTCCTAGATGCTTAGGGCTTAGGGTTTTGGGCTTTAGGGTGCAGGGTTTAGGGGTTAGGGTAGGGATCATGGAGGGAAAATGCCAGGATGTTTGATAAGATGTTACATGGCTACGGTGACCAAGTCGATGACTTCTATGACATTTCTGGATCAATGTAAGGGATCCTNNGATCCTTTTTACTTTTTGGGGTATGGGTTTCCTTATATTTAGGAAAAACGGACCCTTATTTCTTCCTAGGGTAATGTGGACCAAGATTTGAGGCCTACATGTCTTTTTGCATCTTGAGCCCCCAAATGCCGCAGAAAGTAGAGGGATGTATGTAATAGCGAGAAGGAGATACTGGAAGCCCCCCCCCCCGTAATTAGATAGGGATCATGCTCAGAAATTGCCATGCTTGAGTAGAACACAACAAGTCCAAACCTCAGCCCCGCCGAGAAAATGATGCCAGGCGGTGACCTGTGAGTTGCGAGCACTGGAGGCTGCAATGCCATGCTTTTCTGGGTGGCTGTTAAGGAACTTAGTTTAAGTTGCCATATTCTGGGTATACAGTAAATAATGGAGTTTCCTCAAGTTTCCTCATTATATGTTCTCTTTGAGTGTGTGGTTGGAGGGACTCTGGGATGGGTTTAAGTTATAAGTAGACGATGGAGGTCCCGCTTAGAGATTACATAGGCATAATATGGAGAAAGCGCCATATCTGAGATTCTTGTTTGCAATTCATGTAGGGCCCCCTGGACCCCCACTTTCGAGAGACATCCATGGTCTTGGATCCTGAGACGCCACCTTAAATGAGGCCCCCCTAGATCCTGAAAACTGTGTTCAATATGAGGGAATTCTTGTTTTAGGTTGCCTTACACTCCTTTCAGGTTGCCTTCCACTCCCTTCACTTGGCCTTAGACATGAACATCCAGATTTCTGAGTCAGAGTGCTGCCGCACTCCCCCAACCTAACCCGAAAGGGTCTCTCTTGCAGACTACTTTCCTCTGACTGGGATATAGGCGGTTCCATTTTAATCTGAGAGAGGCACTTAACAAACTGCATGTCAATATACCTAAGCCACAAACTCTTTCCCATGGTATCAGGCATCTTGGGATCCTCCAGGATTCGGTGTCCAAGCCAGTGCCATAGAGCCCAAAAGGCTCCCTACATGAGCTATGGCCTAAACTTGCCTAAGCTCCTTAAAGGGGGTTACATAGGGGATTATATGGGGAGTATCATAGGGGTGATTAAGGGGATGCTAAGATGCTAGGAGTTTAGAGCAGATCATAGCTCACATCCCACAAGAAGCTAACTCGAGCATTCTTCTGACCTTCTGAACCCTGATCCTTCAAGAGCTTTTTGTAGGAGTCTTTCCTTAAATTACCCTGAACCCTAAATCCTAACCCTACACCCTAATTCCTAGCCCTAAACCTTAACCCTCAGCACCAAGAAAACTTGCAATCTTAGGCCACTAGCAAGAAGCAACTACTGGATTATGATATACCCAAAGCCATATTCTATCTACTTAAGGAGGACTATATCCACCCTAAACCCTAAATAGTAGTTTCCATTCTCTTTTCCATTATCCGTATAACCCCAATATATACCCTATAATCCCCATATAACCACTAAATGGTAGTTTCCATTCTCTTTTTCATTATCCCTACATATCTCCATTGTGGCAGGAGCGGGTGAAGCATGGGGCCGCTTCTGCAGAGTCCATGGACACGGCGAATGAAGCCATGTGCAAGGTGCACCAGAGAGCTTACTGATGGTAGTTGGGTTTAGGGTTTGGGGTTTAGGGTTTAGGGTTGAGGGTTTGGGGGTTTAGGGTTTAGGGTTTCACCAGACAGCTTACTGATGGTTTTTGGGAATGAAACAAGAAAATGGAAGTTACCTTTCACATGAACCAACAGTGAGCCCTAAACCCCGAACCCTATCCTTGAGCGCGGGAAGCAAAAAGAGTTTAGCCAATAGAGCATGCCGCCCGCTAGCCAGGAGAGAGCAGCTGAATACTTGTGCGTGTAGGCTCCAGGATGTGGACTTCAAGAGTTTTAGATTTTGATTGGGGATTTTAGGTGTTATTTAGGGGATTATATAGGGGAGTATCATAGGGGCTAACAATTTTTCATTTGGATTGGGAATTTCAGGGGTGAGCACTTGGGGTTAGGATTTTGTTTTCTAACAGTCGAGAGCTCTCTAAGAAAGAGTGCAGCTATCTCTGTGCTGCCCGAGTCCCCCCCAAAGGATGAAGTGTATGCTTTGAAAATAAGTGTGCTGCCCGTACCCACCCATGTGTTATGTAGGCAGTTACTTGCGCACGGTGGTGTTCGCTTGAATCCTGCGCTAGAGCCCCTTCCCACGATTGTTCTTTACGTGGGCAACTGGTCCGGAGCTCCATCTTGAATCCTGATTCCTAAGCACTCAACCCTTAACCCCCAACCCTAAATCCCCAACCCTAAAATGGATCAGTTTCCGTTTCCTTGTTCCTTCTCCCCCTATATAAGCCGCAAACACACCGATATAGCCCATATTTATATATATATATATATTATATACATAATCTTTCTATAATCCTAGAGCAAGTCTTAAACCCTCTGTGCATATATTTGAACTTTTAATGGGGCCGTGCATCCCGTTTGCGGGTTTGGAGTTTGGAAGCTCCTGGAGGGCCTTATGGGCCGCCTGTAAGCCTGGAGGCTCCAGCCCCTTTTTTAGGACCTGAGGCCCCCTGGAGTACCCCGGCCCTTGTGGGCCTTCCTTCCCTTTGAGAAAACGCAAATGCAGAATTTGCGTTGGTTCTCAAGTCAAGAAATCCGGAAATTGAGCCTGTTTAGAATGAAAGCTAATGCAGAACGTGCACTTTGCCCCCTCAATTTTCTGGGGTCCCACGGGCGTCCAACATGAAAGATAAATCTAGATGTGGGATTTACGGGGCGCGCGCAGGTGGCGAGCGAAGGAAGAAACATTGATACTGTATAACTGCTAAATGGATGGGAGCGCGAAACCCTAAACCCTATTACTAGTACTGTCATTCTCGGTATTACTACTATTTTCTTACTATTATCCTTATTAGTACTATTGTTACTATTACGTGTTGTCAGGAGCTGGCGGAGCATCGCGTGGAGCTTGCGGAGAGGCAGCAGCAGGCCATGAGTCTGGAGTTTGGGGTTTTAGGGTTGTAGGGTTCAGGTTTGGAGGATTTACGCTTTTCGGGTTTAGGTTCAGGGTTTTGGAGGGCTTAGGGTTTTAGGGTTTAGGTTCAGGGTTTGGAGGGTTTAGGGTTTTACGGTTGCAGGGTTTAGGGTTTGGAGGGTTTAGGCTTTTAGGGCTTAGGTTCAGGGTTTGGAGGGCTTAGGGTTTTAGGGTTGTAGGGTTTAGGGTTTGGAGAGTTTAGGGGTTTAGGGTTGTAGGGTTCAGGGTTTGGAGGGTTTAGGCTTTTAGGGCTTAGGTTCAGGGTTTGGAGGGTTTGGGGTTGTAGGTTCTAGATTCAGGGTTTGGAGGGTTTGGGGTTGCGGGGTTGTAGGCTTTAGAATCTCTTCCAAAATGGGCAACGTAAACCTTAAACCCTACACCCTGAACCCTAAACCCTAAACCCTACACCCTGAACCCTAAACCCCAAACCCCAAACCCTAAGCCCTAAGCCCTAAGCCCTAAACCCAGTATGGGCAACGGTTGTGCGCGCAGGGCCCGCTGAGCTTTGACCAACGTCCGAATGCCAGCCCTACACAGGGTTTAGGGTTTAGGGGTTTAGGGTTCACTGACCGCCCTAGGTTCTCCGAGAGACCAGCGCTTTGAGGGGAGAGGGGGGAGGGGGGGGGTAATTCACGCATTTGAAGGTGTTGAAACCATGGGTTTTCCCACGTTCCATCCTCTGCAACAATAGTATTCGACCATGTAGCCTTCTTCTTCCGCCCGGCATTTTGTTCGAGAAATTCGTAAAGATTCGAAGGCCCTTGCACTAGATGCCTTCCAGGGAAAGACAAGAATACATTGTAAATTACAATATTTTCTACACTTCCATCAAGTGATCTACCCAAAAAAGGCTGACTATCAGGATTCGGCCTCTTTCAGTAGAGCCCTTTCAACCTGTAAAACGCAGTACTTTCTGTGCCATGATGTAAATTCACCACGGCCCACAGTACGAAATGCTCTTCCTGTTTGTAGATCACGCATTTGAAGGTGCTAAAAATTATGGGTTTTCGCACATTCCGTCCTCTGCAACAACAGTATTCGACCATGGAACCTTCTTCTTCCGCGCGGCATTTTGTTCGAAAAATCTGTAAAGACTCGAAGGCCCTTGCACTAGATGTCTTCCAGGGAAAGACAAGAATACATGT